AACCAAGTGTGCTAGGGAATGGAAGAAATATAGAAGGCAAAGGACCCAGGAGAATAAGGAGAGCAGTCGTAGAGCCAGAAACGAATATGCACAGATAAGAAGGGAGGCCCAAAGACAATATGAAAATGACATAGCAGCGAAAGCCAAATCTGACCCGAAACTGTTGTACAGCCACATCAGGAGGAAAACAACAGTCAAGGACCAGGTAATCAGGCTAAGGAAGGAAGGAGGAGAGACAACAAGAAATGACCGTGAAGTATGTGAGGAACTCAACAAGAGATTCAAAGAAGTGTTCACAGAGGAGACAGAAGGGGCTCCAGAAAGACGGAGAGGTGGGGCACACCACCATGTGCTGGACACAGTGCACACAACCGAGGAAGAAGTGAAGAGGCTTCTGAGTGAGCTAGATACCTCAAAGGCAATGGGGCCAGATAACATCTCCCCATGGGTATTGAGAGAGGGAGCAGAGGCGCTATGTGTACCCCTAACAACAATATTCAATACATCTATCGAAACAGGGAGATTGCCTGAGGCATGGAAGACAGCAAACGTAGTCCCAATCTTTAAAAAAGGAGACAGACATGAAGCATTAAACTACAGACCAGTGTCACTGACATGTATAGTATGCAAAATCATGAAGAAGATTATCAGGAGAAGAGTGGTGGAACACCTAGAAAGGAATGATCTCATCAACAGCAGCCAACATGGTTTCAGGGACGGGAAATCCTGTGTCACAAACCTACTGGAGTTCTATGACATGGTGACAGAAGTAAGACAAGAGAGAGAGGGGTGGGTGGATTGCATATTCTTGGACTGCAAGAAGGCGTTTGACACAGTTCCACACAAGAGATTGGTGCAAAAACTGGAGGACCAAGCAGGGATAACTGGGAAGGCACTACAATGGATCAGGGAATACTTGTCAGGAAGACAGCAGCGAGTCATGGTACGTGGCGAGGTGTCAGAGTGGGCACCTGTGACCAGCGGGGTCCCACAGGGGTCAGTCCTAGGACCAGTGCTGTTTCTGGTATTTGTGAACGACATGACGGAAGGAATAGACTCTGAGGTGTCCCTGTTTGCAGATGATGTGAAGTTGATGAGAAGAATTCACTCGATCGAAGACCAGGCATAACTACAAAGGGATCTGGACAGGCTGCTGACCTGGTCCAGCAATTGGCTCCTGGAGTTCAATTCCACCAAGTGCAAAGTCATGAAGATTGGGGAAGGGCAAAGAAGACCGCAGACGTAGTACAGTCTAGGGGGCCAGAGACTACAAACCTCACTCAAGGAAAAAGATCTTGGGGTGAGTATAACACCAGGCACATCTCCTGAAGCGCACATCAATCAAATAACTGCTGCATCATATGGGCGCCTAGCAAACCTCAGAACAGCATTCCGACATCTTAATAAGGAATCGTTCAGGACCCTGTACACCATGTACGTTAGGCCCATATTGGAGTATGCGGCACCAGTTTGGAACCCACACCTAGCCAAGCACGTAAAGAAACTAGAGAAAGTGCAAAGGTTTGCAACAAGACTAGTCCCAGAGCTAAGAGGTATGTCCTACGAGGAGAGGTTAAGGGAAATCAACCTGACGACACTGGAGGACAGGAGAGATAGGGGGGACATGATAACGACATACAAAATACTGAGAGGAATTGACAAGGTGGACAAAGACAGGATGTTCCTGAGATTGGACACAGTAACAAGGGGACACAGTTGGAAGTTGAAGACACAGATGAATCACAGGGATGTTAGGAAGTATTTCTTCAGCCACAGAGTTGTCAGTAAGTGGAATAGTTTGGGAAGCGATGTAGTGGAGGCAGGATCCATACATAGCTTTAAGCAGAGGTATGATAAAGCTCACGGTTCAGAGAGAGTAACCTAGTAGCGACCAGTGAAGAGGCGGGGCCAGGAGCTCGGACTCGACCCCCGCAACCTCAACTAGGTGAGTACATATATATATATATATATATATATATATATATATATATATATATATATATATATATATATATATATATATATATATATATATATATATATTATATATATATATATATATATATATATATATATATATGTATATATATATATGTATATATATATATATATATATATATATATATATATATATATTATATATATATATATATATATATATATATATATATATATATATATATATATTCTTCACTCATCCTTCTCCTCGAGGACCCGGAGTGACCCGTGCCTTGCACAACTTTCTTGGACCTGGTCGAGTTATGGGATCGTAGTTAATGCTTTACTCTCAGGGGTTACAAATACAAATAGGTGTTTGGGTTAGCCCTGGATCCACCCCTCAGGACGGTCCTGGCCAAACTGTAAATGGAGGACTTGGAATCCAGCCGTTCTCCGCCTTCAAGTAGGGTAGCTTCAGAGCTTCAGTCAATAATTTCTCCTGACCTGCATCCTGTAACCACGTACTTAGCATCGCGAGCACAGGTACTTTTAATGATCGTTGGGTACGCAGCCGTGCAAGACACAAGTTTGTAGCGCAATCAACAGAGCAAACAGAGTTGAGAAATAAGTATACACCCGAAGATAGTTAGGTATGGACCAGTAAAACCTAATTGTGAACAGCGTTCGGAGGGAGTATAAGTAGTTTGAAGTAGTGCACCCATAAGGTATCTTCACCCTTCCCCTGACCCCGTCACTCTGAAACTACTGTGATGGTGCACACATTCTGCCAAGCAATGACCACCTACACCCAAGGCTACCTAAGATGATTTGCAGGAATGTGTGACGTATGGCAAATACAAAATTGCTCTCGTAATACGCAACACTTAACTGGTGAGGTGAAAGTGGAGGAAGATACAGTTTCTTACATGATAAGACGATTCATATTTTTCTTACAGGAAAAAGGAAAGACGGTAAAGGAAATGGCAGAACATTGATGAAGGGGAAAAAATGATCGAAAGACGAGATTAAAAGGAATTTAGCTATAAAACTGCAGACTTGTTCACTGTGCTGAAAGACGTGTACAGAAAAAGGATAAATAGAAACCACTGCAAGACTTCTTGTGCAACAGGTAACGGGTAGTGTACCTGGGCTATTGTTATGGAATATCTACTTCAATGACCTACTTTATCCCATCTCAGATTCTCAATGATATCCAGATGACTGTATTCCGACTTCTAACCCAAGAAGTTCCGCCTACTCTAAGTTACATCAGATACCAGCTAACAGCTATATCAGTCTGGGGAAAACGATGTCAAGCTACATTTGCTCCTGACAAAACACCAATGATGTTGGTCTCTAGGCACCATGATGGTAGTGCTGGAACAGTGGTAAGAATAAACGGGAGTGTTGGTGTCCGGGGATGAAGTTGATATCTTTGGGGTGAAATTTGACTCCAAACTGACCATGAAGAACCACGCTGTAAATCTTGCTGCACTTACTGCACTTACACGTATCTCGCATCTGCTTGACGGGAGAGGTTGCAAGATTCTGTACGAGCACAAGTACGCTCACACTGTATGCTCCACTTTCTTGTATTGCCCGCGTTATCCCTATCCCCCCCTATATCATCTGCGACTTCTCGAGAAAACAGAGAACAGAGAAAGACGACTCATCTCTAGCCTGGACCCAGCCTGGATAAGGAGATCTTGTAACACAGGAAGACTGTGGGTGGCCTTACTGTTATGTACAAGGCCAACATTGTCAAGGTACCACACTCCACTCCGAGGACAGTGAGACGCGAGCTTCTACACCACAAGACGGGCAGCAAACAACAACTGCACTCTGGCTGTACCATTCTCTAGAGCATCACTTCATCTGAGATCATTTGTTCCTACGATGACTCGCGTCTGGAACTAGTAAGTACAGCATAAAATGAACGAAATAAGTCAGTTGACCAAATGACCGGCCCATAGCTGGCTCCAACTTCATCCTGTTCCCTATTTGTATATCTCTTAACAATAAAAAGATCTTCAAATGAGATGATGTAGGTAGCAGCTCTTAGCTTGTAAATAAAGTTAGAAACCCTTAACTTTACCTTGTTAAATCCTTCGAAAAAACTTCTCTAAAAACAAAATGTTTGGTAGCTGTAAAATGCTTGGGACATACTCAGAGATTTTAAGAAATACACAGGAGAGAAGCTCAGACCCTGGTACCATCCACAGGTATAATCACATGGTTCGACGACTTCTCGGGTAAATGGTTAACGCTAATGTACTCAAAAAACTTTATTTTAAGCGAGTTTTTACTTGAAGATTGAGACACTTATGCAGCATATGGGAATCTTTATTCAGGAAACGTTTCGCCACACAGTGGCTTCATCAGTCCAATACAAAGAGGAAGGCGTAAGGAGAGGAGGAGTATGAGGTAATCAGTCCCTCAGCCTGAATAAAGATTCCCATATGCTGCATAAGTGTCTCAATCTTCAACCTGTCGGTTTTTCAAACCATTCATCACAACGAATTTTTACTTATATTTTCACTTGTCTCTTGTCTCCTTTTCAACTCGATTTTTATTCATTCCAAAATATTCCCTCTCGAGCCTAAGAGATTTGATTTTTCAGGTCTAGTTTTCCGTGTAATATTTTACTGAATATATCTGAGAAGTTTAACGATAATACACCTACTGAAAATTCTCAGTAATCCATAGCGATAATACGTAAGATATACAAGCAATTCGTTAAGCATTACTTACTGTTAATAAATACTCGTAATGACTTGGGATTAACATGTTTACTGAGTTGGTTGACGGATGTTGCTACCAAAATTATCTATCCCAGCATAACTGGGAAGTAGAATGACCAGTACTTATGTGTCTATTGACTTTTTTGAAGCAGTTGTCATATTGTTGAACCTGCAGTTAAACTGAGGTCTACATTTTCGAAAAATGACATTTAAGATATTGTATTTTTACGAAATTAACGCCTGATGCAAAGATGCTTGGAGAGCTAACGCATAGCTACGTTGGTGAAAGTAAATTCTGACTCAATGTATTGTTGGGTTGAACTGTGTAGTGTAGAGGTGGGTGTGAGTGTGGCTCTGTCTGCTCTATCATCACTGTGACTCTGGGTGCTCTATCATCGCCGTGACTCTGTCTGCTCTATCATCACTGTGACTCTGGCTGCTCTATCATCACTGTGACTCTGGGTGCTCTGTCATCACTGTGACTCTGGCTGCTCTATCATCACTGTGACTCTGGGTGCTCTGTCATCACTGTGACTCTGGCTGCTCTATCATCACTGTGACTCTGGGTGCTCTGTCATCACTGTGACTCTGGCTGCTCTATCATAACTGTGACTCTGGGTGCTCTGTCATCACTGTGACTCTGGCTACACCATCATCACTGTGACTCTGGCTGCACCATCATCACTGTGACTCTGGCTGCACCATCATCACTGTGACTCTGGCTGCACCATCATCACTGTGGCTCTGGCTGCACCATCATCACTGTGACTCTGGCTGCACCATCATCACTGTGACTCTAGCTGCACCATCATCACTGTGACTCTGGCTGCACCATCATCACTGTGACTCTGGCTGCACCATCATCACTGTGACTCTGGCTGCACCATCATCACTGTGACTGGCTGCACCATCATCACTGTGACTCTGGCTGCACCATCATCACTGTGACTCTGGCTGCACCATCATCACTGTGATTCTGGCTGCACCATCATCACCGTGACTCTGGCTGCACCATCATCACTGTGACTCTGGCTGCACCATCATCACTGTGACTCTGGCTGCACCATCATCACTGTGACTCTGGCTGCACCATCATCACTGTGACTCTGGCTGCACCATCATCACTGTGACTCTGGCTGCACCATCATCACTGTGACTCTGGCTGCACCATCATCACTGTGACTCTGGCTACACCATCATCACTGTGACTCTGGCTGCACCATCATCACTGTGACTCTCGTAGTCTACGACGAAATAATTTAAGAATTATTTAATTCTTGGACAATTTGTAAGTATATACAGTTTAATATTCATCGTCTGATTAGTTTTTTTTTTAATGAAAACTTAAAATAAATGTTTTATTAATTGATATTTACAAAAATAAATATTTACCTAAGGTTCACACATTACAGACTGCCAACACACATACACACACACACACACACACACACACACACACACACACACACACACACACACACACACACACACACACACACACACACACACACACAGTGTAGTAAGTGTAGTGGTTATCAACTTTCCATGTTGGTTACATTTTTTGTGGATCCGTCTTGAGCTGAGGTCATAAAAGTGCTAAAGTCTGAATCAAAATATTTCGTATCTGTTTCGTTTAAGTTTAAACAATTTTAGTGTTTATCTCTTATGCTTAATAAGTTCAATGAGCAACGGAAATTGGTGCGATATAGATAGTAGTACTAGGAGTAGTAGTAGTAGTAGTAGTAGTAGTAGTAGTAGTAGTAGTAGTAGTAGTAGTAATAGTAGCAGTAGTAGTGGTAGTAGTAGTAGTAATAGTAGCAGTAGTAGTGGTAGTAGTAGTAGTAATAGTAGCAGTAGCAGTGGTAGTAGTAATATTAGAAGAAGCAGCAACTTAAGTGAACGCAGTAGTAGTAGCACAGCAGAAGCAGCAGCACAGTAGTAGTTGCAGTACCTGTCATAGTACCTGATAGTAATAATAATTTGCTAGACAATAAGACAACGTAAAGCTATTTTCACGAGGAAAGACAACTCTTACCCAGGTAAATGCTTCAACGTTGTGAAGGAATAAACTGACGTGGGAAGGAACATATAATACTTTCTCCTCACAAAACCGCTTCCTTGGTCCCACAACCCGGAGTGTTTGCACCTCCAACCTTTCCCCGCAACATCTGGTTCCTTGGTCCCCCAACCCGGAGTGTTTGCACCTCCAACCTTCCCCCGCAACACCTGGTTCCTTGGTCCCCCAACCCGGAGTGTTTGCACCTCCAACCTTTCCCCGCAACATCTGGTTCCTTGGTCCCCCAACCCGGAGTGTTTGCACCTCCAACCTTCCCCCGCAACACCTGGTTCCTTGGTCCCCCAACCCGGAGTGTTTGCACCTCCAACCTTCCCCCGCAACACCTGGTTCCTTGGTCCCCCAACCCGGAGTGTTTGCACCTCCAACCTTCCCCCGCAACACAGATCTTTGTACTCACATCCCAGTGTTTGCACCTCCAGGATCCTTGGTACTCTAACACTATATAGTTGTACTTCCATCCTCTCATTACAGCTTATTGATCACTTGAACATTAAAATAAACTATGTATAGCAAAATAAGTTTATTTAGAAAGTAAAATCAGTAGATTACGAGACGTAAATATTGAACTAAGACTTTTTTTTTTAGTAAGAATCTTTGACAGTTCAATCTGCATAGTCTTAGTAATATGAAATTTACAGTGTGTGAAGAGAGACGGTGTTACGCACCAGAAGTGTACATGTTAGACTTCTCAAACATTCAACCATCTTAAGACAAGTCGAAACAAGCAAATAATGACAAATTACTTCCCTGATAATGTCAGACAGGTATCTGAGATTTTGAGGCTGTATTCTAGCTTACATCGGATAAGCTGTTATCAAATGAGACAGTAATTTATGAAATGACCAATAATGGTTATGATGAGGTATTTAAAATGTTAATATAGTATCCACATTTTGCATTATGTATATATGAAAGGAATGTAATATCTAAAAAAAATTGTAGCTATACCTTCCCATAAGCCAATCTGGTTTTTTGTACTTCCTCTCACATAAGTGTTTCTGGTATGTGGTAAACTGGCCGCTCGGAAGTTGCATTATCACCTAATGAGGATGGAAAGTTTGAAGCTATTTATATGTGAGTGACAGTATTTAATTTTTTCTAGCTTCTTTCTAGAACGTGAACTGGGACTTACGCAGGCTAAAATCACTCCAAGCTTTGCTCTAAGTAACATTGAACAGCTTTTAAGGAAGTTTTATATAAGCTTAAGTGAACATAACTCATAAATGTTTATGAATGGTGTTGAGGGCATACATAAATACACAATAGAACGCTAAACTAATTTAATCTAGGATAACCAGATAAAGTCAAATGAATTATTACTGATCAGAAGAGACCTTTTTTTAATTATTTCACAAAACTGGCACATGATAACTTACACAACCTAACATCAAGAGATTGTTTTTCTTGAGGAAAACATGTCAACACTAAAAGTTTAAAGCCTACCAGAAGATGCATTAGCCAGGTATTGCACAGAATCCAACAAAATTTGTGCCTACGCAGCTTTAGCCCACAAGACATTTTACCTAAGTCATACAATGCATTACCAATTAAAGATTGATGCCGTTCACAATTGTTATATATTAATCAGAAGGAAGGGATAAACCCTCTTAGGGATCATACAGAACAGACTGTGGTCTCTATTTCTACAAGTACATGATACATCATGGGTATGTTATATAGCAGTAGTATCCAGTCTTTTATTATGAGAGGGCCAATTTGAAAAGTCAAATTTAGAGGAGGGCCGAATTTTGTAATGATCGATATTAATATTATACTTATAGAATTATTATTAATATGGTAAAATAATTATACTGAAAGTCGTAATATGTAACACAGGACAATTATATGTATTTACCCGAGGCATAACTACCTTAGCTCTATCATGGTTCTGGGTCCAGGAAATAGCTGGCTTGAAGCTGCCAGTTATATCCTCCTAAATAATTCACACGCTCGATATTTCGGGGTGGCTAGTTTTGACTCGATTAGATTCGCTAGCAGTAATTCAGTATTGAATATAATAATAATAATAATAATAATAATAATAATAATAATAATAATAATATCTTTATATACTACAAGTACATGTACAAGGTATACAGAAAATAGCTGACATCAATAACATACTACTATATAGAAAGCCGCTTGTTATGCAGAACATTTGGGCAAATTAGGTCAGTTTTGTCCCAGGATGCGACCCACACCAGTCCACTAACACCCAGGTACCCATTTTACTTATGGGTGAACATAGACAACAGGTGTAAGGAAACACGTCCAATGTTTCCACCCCTTCGCTGGGAGTCGAACCCGGACCCCTCACCGTGTGAAGCGTAAGCTTTGCCACCAGGCCATGGGGCACCGTGGGCTGGTGGTTATTGTCACTAACCTCACAATCACAAATGCTTAAGTTCACGAGTACCTTGAGTGTTCATTTCGTTCCTAACAAATAGAAATTTAAATATACGAAAGAGCAATTTCTGACAGTGTACGCATCAGAGCGGCGTAACAGGTGCTAGATTTGCTACGAGGATAAACTAGCACTGACCAGAAGTGAAAGGTGGTTGTTGAAGGTGGCCATAATATTTTGTGGTAAAATGGCTTTATGTATTTTGTAACTGTTGATACTGTGCAGAGAGGAACCTACATAAAAGTGAATTCATGTATCATGTGAGGGCAACATCCATTTCGTAGAAGAGCTAATTGCGACCCTCGGGCCACATGCGACCCTTGGGCCGCAGGTTGGGAACCCTTGCATATAAAAAGTCCCAGGTCATGCAGAGCATTTCGGGCCACTTATGCTAATCATGTACTCCAGGATGCGACCTACAACAGTCAGCTAACACTCAGGTACCTACTTACTGCTAGGTGAGCATGATCAGCAGGTGTATGCCCAACGGTGAACCCGTGCTGGGTATTGATCCCGGGCCCCTCAGTATGTGACCTCTTAGAGCAATTCCATGGATCAAGAGCCACTAACCAAAATCATGAAGAAAATAATGCAATAAGGTAAAATAACACAAGTTTCCTCTCGTGCTGCACTTGACACCATGGAATTATCACCTAAACCTGGTTGATCAGGACCTGATCCACCATGAGGCCTGGCCACAGACCAGGCCGCGGGGGCATTGACCCCCTAAACCCCCTCCAGGTATACTCCAGGTATACTATTTCAAGGTTAAAAGCAACAAAATGGCCTATCAGAGGAGCGTTTCTCCAGTAATCACACGGGAACGAAGGTTATCCGAACACGGAAATAATCTCGCGAATTTTTCCCAAAATACATTAAACAAACGTAAAACCTCGAAACCGACTGAAAAAAAAAAAGAAGTTCTTGAGAAATATATAAAAATTCAAAATAAAGCAAACGAAAACATTGCTGACTGAAATATTCCGAGAAATAGGTAAGTCTCTCCTCGTTAAACTTAAAAATCCCGTAAATCCTTGGATATATATGTTTTTTCATTCCAGTTTTCTTTGCACATTTACATTCTATTTAAAATTCCCTTCACTCCCGAAGAAAATATTTCATTTTATTAAAAAAAAATGAAAAAATTGGCCTGGTCTCAGACCGGGCCGCGGGGGCGTTGACCCCCGGAACTCTCTCCAGGTAAACTCCAGGTAAACACAAAGGACAAACCGGAATATAAATTTCTCAATATTTTTCACAATAAAAGAGTCAAATCTGCACCTATATATTTCGCTTTCACTCTCTACCATCATCATTTTTTTGTGAAAGTTTGAGGTTCCGCCACTGAGAATTTTGAAAGTTGTTAGAGCCATTCCAAGTTGCTGGGAATGTGCTCAGTAACTTTCCTCACAGGATATCTAACTTTGCTATTTCTTCCAAGAATTTGATCCTCATTACCCTGTATAAGTCTTAAAAGTTTGAAGCCGATTGGATGAGGCGTTTTTGAGTTATACATAAAAATCGAGAAATAGGAACAAAATAAAAAAAAAATTAAGTAGCATCTTAAAAGGTCACCCTTCAGGGATATCTAAAAGGTCACCCTTCAGGGATATCTAAAAGGTCACCCTTCAGGGATATCTAAAAGATCACCTTCAGGATATCTAAAAGGTCACCCTTCAGGGATATCTAAAAGGTCACCCTTCAGGGATATCTAAAAGGTCACCCTTCAGGGATATCTAAAAGGTCATCCTTCAGGGATATCTAAAAGGTCACCCTTCAGGGATATCTAAAAGGTCACCCTTCAGGG